ATTTGTAAGCTCTTAATAAGCTTTTATTGAGTTGAATGATCGGTAATAACTGTGAGCTTATGCCCTTCCACTGCAAAGTGGATCCCCTTGTATAAAACAGTTCCCATAACGGCCTGAAAATACTTTTATTCTTCAATCGATAGTTCGGTTGTCGAAGATGGCCGAGGGTTTCCCAATTATTGTATAATCTATTTGAGAAACCAGTTTCATCAAAGCCCCATTTTCAAATTAATGTTAGATTTTTAAGTGTATTCATAGGAATAGTATCAATTAAGTTTGTCAGAACTACTGCCTTGTTTAGTAAGCTCTGTAATTTGACTTCCGCATTTATAATATCAGAGTATATCATTTTTTTTAAACTTAGTACTTTTTGATAACTTAAAAAAAAAATTAAAGAATACTTATATCAACATAACATATTTTTGTGAATAAGTTTCTTAAAATCAAATATTGGTGTTTGGACAACCAGATTGATTTTTTCGATTTGTAATTTTTTCTAAAAAGTTTCAATTGTTTTGTAGATGTTCCCAATTATTTTCAACAGTTCGCTTCACTCTGAAATAATTTAGTTGTTGCTTTCAATGTTTATTGCTGCTAAATACAATAAATTGTTTTCGACGCAAAAGGTATTTGACCTTGGGGTCTTTTAGACCAAGACTATCCAAACACCATATTTACGGACATCACAATACAGAAAAAGAGGTTCGTTAAAATCAGACCTATTCTTTAGATTCTATCCAACTTTCCAATGGAATCTCTGTCAAGCTTGAAAACTTTCATATCTGAATTTTTTCCCCGTGTAAAAGTGTCCTCTTACCGGAATCAATTTATAATCATTCAGATAAACAAATAGTTAATTAAAAAGTTCCTCAAGGAACTTTCATCTTATCATTGCTTGCCATGCGTTGGTAGGCCCGAACGGCATAACATTAAATTGGTGTATAGTTTCGAATTGATTTTTAGATTTACCCGGGATATTAAAGACGGTTTTAGCTCGTGATCACGAAGTTACCTCCTTACTGAATTACCATCTATTTGCGGCAACGAATTATGAATCAACAGATCAAATAGATCCAAAGCGTTCGAAAGTTAAAAGACCACAATAAGGAGTGAGGTTGATAAAAAACATAAGCGGTGTCAACTGTACATATGAGTGATAAATAATTATCAAATTCATAAACAGCTTAACATTCAAGCTGAAATCATCATACTCAGCTTTCACACTCCACTAAGGTTTCTTCAGCGTAAACTTAACACGCTGATTTCAATATATGTCTTGTAAACACAGATCCGGCTAATCCAAATATTCCTAGTTATTCCATTCAAAAATTTCGATGTTAAAAAAAGATTTGAATTTTCCGACTTTATCGAGTTGTCTCAATATCTATATCGTTTGACTTATACAAAATCTATTGCAAAAAGATTCAACTAATAAGTCTGTATAATCTAAGCCCAAAAAAGTGAGGACAGTGTACAATCCAAGGGCACTTAGCGACACGCTAGCCATGCACTTCCTTTCTGGACAGGTGCGGGTGTAAGTTTTACATCACTGTACTAACTCCATGTAATCCATGTGTTAAAATCTTCGCTTTAGTCCTTCTCAAACAATTATTCAGAATTGGATTAAAGCCAATCTCTTTATTTTGCATACAATATATTTCTTATATAACGCCTAATAATTTATTTTTTTGGGCGTAGTAATGGCCGATGCAATTTTTGACATTCCTTCCCCTTTTTTGCCATTATCATATTTGCAGCACCATTCATTTAAAATGAATAAAAACAAAAGTGGACCGAGATATCTAAAGAAAAAGTAAGAACAATGCCGTGTTATAAGCACGCACGTACGGATCCTGGTAAGAATGTGTAATCCTAACACATTATTTTAAATATACTATATACTATTATTTTAAATATTCAATTTTTTCTCAATATTTCAATGTTTACATATTTTAGTCTATATATGTATACCAAGTATAGAGTTTAATAATAACATAAATTATCTTTTGGAGCCAAGAATAGGCCACGATTAAAACTGCACAAAAATCTAGAGAAGACCTTTGGAAGAATGAATGCTTTCAAGCTAGCCCTAGCTGTAAAAACACCCGAAACCCAATTAACATCAGATCTCCCAATGCCGCTCCGGCAGCTGTGGTGCAAACCTTAAAGACTCTCCCTGGCAGAACATTACAAATCATTTCGTCGGTATTAAGAAATCACTGAGGCCTTTGGATGGGAAACCCAGAAGAAAGCCTTAACACACAAATAATCTCCGGTGCTCAGGAATAGTGTGGAATAATAACGTACCTGTCTTTCTGATCAGGAAACGTTGGAAAATACCCATCCTGAAGTCACAGAAATATCGCGGAAATCCAGGCAAAGAGAGTCATTACCATTACCAGTCAAATACTATCGAAGAAAAACTATACAGCCGTTAAGTTCTTTTTTTGAAATCGATTACGAAAGTGACCAATTGGAAAACGAAATTCAGAAATTCCAGCTGTTAGAAGCATAAAAAACCCGACTATAACAGCTATTCGAGTATAAGACTCTTCATCATATGGAGTGTGGGCTTCAAGAACCGGATCAGTTCCATAGTTGCTTAACGTAGATTTTCCATGCAGTACCCGCATCGACGCCCGACCCTTTACGTGCGCGGGTTATATAGAGGTAAAAGGAAAAAGCCTTGGGCGGAAGAAGCTAAAAAAGTGTCAATCTAAGCAATTTCAAGAACACTTATCGAGAACCCCCGAAAAGACACCTAGCAGAATCCGGATGTATTCCAGAAAAAGGCAAATAATGTGCTTAGGTGAGAGCACTTACATACACTTTTCCGCTGAGCCGGAGGTCAAGCCAACTTCATGGTAACCGACATCATTTTAGTTCGGTCCTTGGTTTTGCAACGATAGCGTAATCTTGAACAATTTGCTTAAATAAACACGTCAATAATAAAAAAAACCACTTGATAACAGGCCACCGGTCGTACAGGGTGGTCTTTAACTTTCCCATTTGTTGGCATAGTGTAAGGACTACTCTGGCTCACTTTTATCATTGGCTGGATGGCTGACGTCAAGACAAATTTTGTCCATTTATGTGATAGGATGTGTCAGTTGAAGCTTATGTTGTGTGTATATTACATTCAAGTGCACATTTAAAATAATTGTTCTATTATTATTATTTTTTTTTCTAAGGTTACGTATCTCTGAATTACCTTAGACCGTCGCCTTTGTTGGAAGGGACAAATTGATCGAGTTTGTGGATCAGCAAGAACATACTTGACAAAATGGCCGGCTCCTTCGTCCAGGTAGCGGCCCTATCCCTTGAAGCCAAGGTGCGGCTTTTTAAGGCCATTGTCCTTCCAACTTTAAACTGGGGAATCACTTTCTGGGGCACGGCCTGTGATTCGTCACTAAAAAGTTGTTTGCGCATTACAAAGGCTCTCAGGAGGATGGCACCATTATGTAGAATACCGTGTTATGTTCCAGGACGCAGGAGTGCCGACGGTAACGGAGACGATTTGTAAATCCTCAAGTCGATACCGGGAGCGTCTGCTCACACATGAAAACTGTCTGGCAAGATATTTTGCAACCCCACTGGGTCGACGGCGTCTCCACAGACTACACCCGGCAGACTTATTGATTCTCGGCCGTGACAGACACGGTCGTCTTCTGTAACAACACATCCTGATTTGCTTTTGACTGGCTATGACCATACTTGATTTGCCCAAGAATGGAGCACCCGCTACCCGCTTTGCTTGGGATCTTTAGAAATAAAGATAAAGATAAATATAAAAAAAAATTATCACATTGTTAATGCAAATTTAAAAAAAAATTGATTTTATTTTTATTATTAATTTGGTTAAACACCACTAAAATCCAGCAGAAATAATACATCGGGCATATCCAGTTCGATACAGTTTCTATTGACAGCAATTATATTGTTAAAGTGCCTCTGTCATTTGGATCTGTATCATAATGATATAACACCAAATAAATCTAATTGTGCTAAACTAACAAAGTTTCCTTCGTCGTATTCCACCGTGCCTCGGATCTTGCTCATTTTTTTAGGCGTTTAGTGTTACCTTTTGCAGAAAATGGCAAGCCATTAGCAAAATTATGGATATAAATGACCTCAATAAGGAGCAATCATAGGCTTTCAGGCCTCTGAAAACCATTTACTCGCGGTTTAACTGCCATATCTTTGCAAAAACAAGGCGATGAAGTATATTTTAATTCATAACAAAAAAAATTGTAGATGAATTTTTAAAAAAATGTCCCAATTCATTACTTTAGAAAAGAGGAAAAGAGAAACTAGCACCAAAACACTTATTCGGTCAATATCTATCAACACTCCAAAATCGAACCCATTACTTTAAACGTTATAAAACATTTTAAGTGTTAATTATGTCGTTGTTGCATATTTAAAAACCGAGTTCATATATTTGTGAGAGCCGAAGACAGCGAGAAAACAGGTAGCGGGAAGCGGGAATGCTGACAGCTCTCACCTTACCGTGTTTGCTCTGCAGTTCGGCAGCTGGGGACAATTTTTTTTAGAATTGGATAGGTCTGTAGCTTTAGCATTTCTCTTTGTTTTTGAATAACTTTTAACCGGAGCAGGAAGTTATAGTTTGCGCATCGTCAATACATATACTGCCGTACCTAGTGATAACTTTGCGCCAGAAATGTATTATTTTAAATGGTTATATGACAGCGGAGTGAAACTGCTAATTTTCTGTTATCAGCATGCGACGGTGACCTGTCCAAAGCATTTGGACCGAGGGAGTTGCATCCTGACTAGGCACGCTTGGTTCCAGCTATAAAATAGCTAAATTAGCGACGTTGATCGACGTACTATTTGAAATTTGGCTTACGGTTGCTTTTAAAAAAAGTTTTAGATAAAAAAAATTTTTTTGTACATAAAAAATGGCAAGACCTACATCTCAAAAAGGACTTTTTACAAATAAATTTATTCTATAATATTTTCCTTTTTTTCTTTTTCAGAAACAACACGATGAAAAGACCGACAGAAGATGAAAACGACAGTCTAAACTTAAAACGAACTAAATTATAATCTTTGGAAATGTTTAGTTAAAATATATTTGCAACTGTTCAATAAAAATCAGAGCGTTTAAATACTTAAAAAAAATTAACGTGTTTGATGCCTTGGGAATAAATAAAATCAACGTTTTACAGTTCTATATATTAAGTGCTTGGGTATAAAAGAATTAAATAATAATGGAACTGTCCGATGTACCATTTGAAAACAGTTCTAAGGTAGACTTTCTCTCCCTCTCCCACAAGGGCAGTTTTTTTTTTAATCTCTTAGTTTTAGCAAATATGTAGTCTTGTAGCTTTTTAATCGAACTTTCCGTCTGAGTTACTGAACGTCGAAGGAGAGAATGGCATCGAATTCCAATGCATAAAACCATTGTTCTCCGTTAGTTTTATATATATTTCTTGGTTTTTAACTTTTTCAATTGCTTTAATCTTTTTGGTAATAGCAAAAGAATATATATTTATTGGCCCGCCTATGAGATATGGTGGCTTACTATGACCATTCATTTATTAAGATTCAAAAGCGGGACAAAATCTTTTAAAGTAATTGTTGTTAATTATTATTATTATAATTACATCATGTCAGTCTATAACAGAATATTAATGGTTATTTAGCAGTATTTCTTATAAGTGAATTTATATAACAGAAATTAATAATTACATTTATATAACCGAAATTAAGTGTATTTCAATATATATCTCGAAATTCTTTAATTCATTTTTTTCTTTTTTTATAATTTATTTATTTCGAAAGCAAAAAAGACATAATTAAGAGTACTTAATAAAAAAAAGTAATAATTGTATTTTTGTGTACCTAACTTTTGTTTTATCTAAAAATTGTTATTTTTCATATTAAACTGAACAGATTTTAAACTGTATTTACATTGAAAGTTATTTATAGCTAAATTGTTGTATTTAAAAATACGTCGTAAGCATTCATGGCACTAGCTAAATTATTATCTAAATAAATTTGAATGTGAAACGAAATTCAGCAAAGTTATAAAAGGGAGGTTAGTTAAGTAAAAAAGAAGGTTAAAAACAAAGAAATAACATTGGACTGACTACATTGATCTTGGGGGAACACATTGGAGTGGGACAAGGTTCCCAAGGTTCTGGAGTTCCCTTATCGGTATACCCACCTAAACCTCCCCGTGCTACCCCGTAAGTGGGGTATGACCGGCAGCCGTTTGATGTCCCACATAAGAATTTGTCATGACTACACCAATAGGCAGGATGTGCGACTAAACACAAGCTCAAGCTTCAGATTTCAGGGCTGAGGTTCCATTTGGACCAGTTCGCCATAATAAATATATTCATAATTTGACTGCAGAAAGAAAATGTTATTAATTCGGAGCTGAAATCCAACTAAACTTAAAAAACTGCAAGAGGACGTAATTTAACTTGATAGTTAACTGGCACAACCGGCAGCCCCGCTGAAAGAAAGAGACAACACGGATTAGAGGCTTTATTTGCGGTGCCCGCACCTCTGCCAAAGATCTGCTGAGAGAAATGTTCGAACCTAACTTTGGTTTCTCACCACCTCCAACATGTGCGAGGCACAAGCAATAGTATGGGGAGTTCTCGCACCAATCCTTAGGAATAGGACCGAACACTGCAGCAATAAGTATTCACCATAGGATTTGATTCCAGTTCGATCGAACAAACGAAAAACTTTTTTTTTAGAAACAAAGAATATGATGATATTGACAGAAGCCGGCTATATGAATAACGGTTCATTTTTACTCAACACAACGATAGTAGAGAAAGGAGTAAAAGCAAGCAAAAAGAGATCAATCTGAATAAAACGTGACAAATATTATGCAGGAAACTAAATTATATTTGGAAGGACCATTGTCGGTAATGCCATATAACAAGAATAACTTTGCGGAAGTGGAAATGCTGACACCATTTAAACGAAATTTTGATGTAGAGTTTAATATAATGGATAGTAACGAGACCGGTACGAGCAAAACTGGTGATAGACCATTTAAATAAAGAAGAGCGGGAAAGCTTTTAGAAACGTTATTCACAGTTTCCAGACATATATTATTACAAAGCGAATGAGCTGACATGTACCAATGTAGTGACGCACTCAATTACAACGACGAACGACATTTCAATCCATATAGATACGGACTCAAACAGAGAAATGAGATAAAACAGATACTTGTGCATTTGAAGTTAAAAGATGGTTACGGCATAAAAACCTAAGTTGCTACTAGTAGTAGATTTTAGAAATTTTAATGAAAAAATTGGGAAGGATAGATATCCACTAGGTAAGGCAATTTATTTTTTGGTAATAGATTAAACTGGTGGGTATAAGCAGGTTGAAATAGAAAAAAAGGACACCCATAAACGGCTTTTTGTACTGGAAAGGGGCATTTTGAATACGTGAGGATGGCGTTTAGGCTAACTAATGCCCCAGCCACTTTTCAAAGGGTAATGAAAAACATTCTAGAAGAGTAAGTAGGAAAAATCTGTTTGGTATATATGAACCATATAATATTTTATTTACCGTCATTGCTGAGCCACATGCAGGACTTGCAGGCGATATTTAAAAGACTAAGTGTGGCAAGATTTAAATAGCAAGCGGACAAATCGGAGTTTCTAAAAATGGAGATAGAATATCTGGGTCATGTAGTGACTCAGGAAGCGGTAAATCGGTAATTTTTGCTGTAGGCGCAATGCTGTCTCAAGGGGCAATGGGAAGTGATAGACCCATTGCATTTGGCAGCAGAAAATTAAACGATTAAAAAGCTAACTACTCCACAGAGAAAATAAATGCTGGATTAGTTTGCGACCTAAAACATTTAAGACCGTATTTGTTCGGTCACAAATTCAGATATCACCGTCCACTAACCTGGCTAATGGGCTCCTTAAAGCCCAACTCCAAGTTGGTCAGGTGGAAACCGCAATTATTGGAATATGGTTATGAAGTGGTTTATAAAAAGGTTCGCAAAATGTATTGGCAGAAGCTCTGAAAGAAAGATTTCAGGTGGCGGAAAAACCACTGAATGATTTTAATATATTATGGGAATATTTGAGATTGAGCAGAAATTAAATAGAACGGTGGTATCACCTTTTAGAAACAAAACTAGAAGTGCGATAACTGAACCGTATTTCGAAAAGGAAAGTAGCATTTCTGTTGTTTCATTAGTTTTTAAATCAATTATTTAGAGAAATGTGTTATATTTTAAAAGTCGAGGAATTCAAGGGATATATACTTAAAAATTTAAAAGAAAATTATTATCTTCGTTTTTGAAAAGTTTCTAAAAAGAACCAAATAAATAAAAAAAACACTTTTTTTTATATATTGTATTATTATTAGACAAAGTAGGAACATACCGCGTGATAGGCATTTTAAAATACCTTTTTAACGACATATGGCACCCACAAACAGCTTTAGTTGTTTTAGAACAATGCAAGCACAAGTTCGTTGTAAAGTATTTAACAGGTATATATATATTCTTGATTAGGATCAATATCCGAGTAGATTAAGCCATGTCCGTCTGTCGATCTGTCCGTCCTATGATTGTCGAGATCTCGGAAACTCCAAAATCTAGAGATTTGGGACTTAGCATTAAGATTCTTGATTTATTACTTGCGATTTTTCCCCGCCCACTCTAATGTCCACAAAGTACAAAAACTTTATGGACATCGTAGAGGTCTCTTACTGGGCGGAATATGTCAAAACCGCACTAAAAAACTTATTTGGATAATAAGTATCGTTATAGGATATTTTAAGGTTGTAATTATATTTGGCTCATATAAAAGAGAGCAGAGAAAGCGAGAAAACTGTTAGCGGCTGCTGGCCCTTCCTAAAATTTTTGAATGGCATAATCAGCTGGGGAAAATTATATTTTAAAATTGGCTATCTTATAGTCATAAAAAATTTGGAATATAAATATTTTTTAAAAATTAAGGTTTTTGATGCTTTGAAAATAATTTATTTCAGGGTTCAACTTTCTATATATACAGTGCTAAAATAAAGTTAATCCTGGGCCACCACGCGGTTTCGTAGAGGGCAAATATCGAATAAAAATAAAAATATAAAAAATATTTTGTAAAATATCGATATATGGAGGAAAATTCTGTGTGTGTGTGTAAAAAAATCCTTTTTTTTTTTTTTTGGTCTGATCTTAGGGTCTGGGTGTCTATCTCAATGGTCTTTACGCCATATACCCCAACAAAAAAATTTAATTTTTCTTGAGAAAAAAATTAAATATATTTTTTTTTTTGAGGAAAAATTATTTTAAAATTTTCCGTATCCTTAAAGTCCCTGTTCGGTCGCCATGTAAGGAAGTTCTTGGGCTGGGATATTGTGCTCAGGGCTCCCAGGGTCACTTTCAATAATTTATTTAAGTTCAAGGACTTAAGGGAAGGGCGAGATAAAAATGACCCTATTCAGACTCCGTGGCCGGAACTCACAGCGGGTTTGGATCCGACAATCGATCAGAGCTCCGTCGTAATCTCTACCCGCCACGCGCATCGGAACCCGCAATGATCCTTGGATCCGACAAACGAGGCTAGCTCCGTCTTAATCTTTGGGCACCACGCGGTCCGACCACGATCGGCAGAAGCAGCATGGGCCGAAACCTGCAGTGGATTTAGATCCGACAATCGAGTACAAGACTCCGTCGAAATCTCTCTCAGCCGCTCGCTCCGAAACCCGCACTGACCCTGGACCCGACAAACGAGCCTAGCTCCGTCGTAATCCACGGCCACTACGCGCTCCGGGACCGGCAATACCTTCGGATCCGACAAGCGAGTGCAAGACTCCGTCGTAATCCTTGGCCACCACGCGGTCCGACCACGATCAGCAGAGAAGGGGGGGTTTTCCTAGATGGAGGCAAGAGAAAATAGTTCCCATTCCCCTCCTACGTTCACTCACACACAAAACACGGCAGGTTTTCATATACTTTGGTTTTCTTTATTTAAGTTTGTTCGAGGGGTGTACAAAGCCTCCTTGTCACGCCACTCCAGTCCAGTCGTTTTCAAAAAAATATATCGAGAAAATATATAGTGGACGCTTACGTTTTCGTCCACAGCAAATCCAGCCAATTGATTCCCCGTGCCTCCGCAGCGGGAACA